TGGATGGATCAACTGATGCTTTCAGTTAGATGACTGACTCATTGATTGATGAGCCATTGTCTACAAAGTCTTCATTTGTACACTCATCATGCATGTGCAGATGAAGACTTCATAGGCAATCGCCGATTCTCTCCAGCTGTTCTGTTTGGGACAGGAACTTTAATCCCAGTATTGTTAGCAGGAGTGAAGGGAAATAGCAAACTCCATGGAAAAAGATTAGGTCTCTGTGTTTAGAGAGCTGTAATGTGTGTTTGTGTGTTTAGTCGTTTAGTCGTGTCCGACTCTTCGTGACCCCATGGACCAGAGCACGCCAGGCCCTCCTGTCTTCTACTGCTTCCCGGAGTTGTGTCAGGTTCATGTTGGTTGCTTCGCAGACACTGTCCAGCCATCTCATCCTCGGTCGTCCCCTTCTCCTCTTGCCGTCACACCTTCCTAACATCAGGGTTTTTTCCAAGGACTCTTTTCTTCTCATGAGATGGCCAAAGTACTGGAGCCTCAGCTTCAGGATCTGTCCTTCCAGTGAGCACTCAGGGTTGATTTCCTTTAGAACTGATAGGTTTATTCTCCTTGCAGTCCAGGGGATTCTCAAGAGCCTCCTCCAGCACCACAATTCAAAGGCATCAATTCTTCAGCGGTCTGCTTTCTTTATGGTCCAGCTCTCACTTCCATACATCACAACAGGAAAAACCATAGCTTTGACTATTCGGACTTTTGTCGGCAAGGTGATGTCTCTGCTTTTCAAGATGCTGTCAAGATTTGTCATCCCTTTCCGGTGTTCCGTCAAGCATATCAGCATGTTTCGTTATTATCTTTAAATTTAATTTTAAAATGTCAGAGTGCTGGAAAGTTTTATAAAACACCAAACACTGGTTTTACAAACATGTTTTTAAATTGAAAAAAACAAACAAACTACACCCCTTCCTCACGCTGTCCAGTGATACCCAGTGCAGTATAGCGCATAGAGTGATGGATTAGGACTCGGGAAGCCGGAATTCAAATCCCTGCTGAGCCACATGGAAACTAATTGGGGCGTGGGACTGGTAAAAACCACTCCTTAAACATTTACCTTGAAAACCCTATTAAGGTTGTGATAGGTCGGTTCCAACTCAAAATCACAGCAGAACAGTGACATATCATTTCGTTCCATTAAATATATATATTGGGTGATGGGGATGGTGTCCCCCATTTGTGCCAAAGATGGCTCTTGGAAAAGATGTTCAACCCATTTCTCTGGCATTTGTGCCTTTTCTCCTTAGCCTAAGCGTGGGAACCAGGCCTGTAAGAAAGCCTCGGACGCTGTCTCCATTCATACCTGGCTAAAGGGCACACATTTTGGCACTAGAGATGGGCACAAATTAATTTGTCCACTTTGTATGAATTAACCCGCATGGCACTACAGGTGTCATATCGATTATCCCGCCCCAGTCCCCTAGGCCAACTGGCTCACTCACTGTATGTCACCTTGGAATTATTGTAGATTACAAGTGGAACAAGTGCCAAAAGTGCAATACGGCTGCAAAAAAGGCCAATGCAGTTTTAGGATGCATTGCCAGAAGAAGAGTCTCCAAATCCCACGAGGTATTTGTTTCCCTCTATTCAACACTGATTAGACCTCATCTAGAGTACTCTGGTTTTAATGCTTTTGAATTGTGATGCTGGAGGAGGCTCTTGGGAGTCCCCTGGACTGCAAAGAGAGCAAACCAATCCATTCTGAAGGAAATCAACCCCGAGCGCTCACTGGAAGGACAGATCCTGAAGCTGAGGCTCTGATACTTTGGCTATCTCATGGGAAGAGAAGCCCACCATGGCCCAGCTTAGTAATGTTTTTTTAATTTTAATGGGGATTAGTTATTTTATTTAACTGTAATAATCTTTGAAAATGTTCTTTATGCTAAAGCTTGAGCAATATAAACTAATTCTATGAAACTCTATTTTTCTAATTAAAAATGATAATAAAAATTCTTACAGAAGGACTGGTCTCTTGAACAGCAGGGTCTGACTAAATCCAGGGAGTCGAGGGGACCACAAACTAGCTATATCTAAGAGTCCTACCTAACTGAGCTGTTGTGAGTTCTAAGGAATCACAAAGCCCATGTGTCTGTACTTGCAAAGTACTGGGTAAAAGTAAAGTGTTCTTTTAAGGTCAGATTTGTTCAAGGGGATTACGCTACGCACTGGTGAGGTCTTGGGACTTGCCTCAGTGCAAAGGTGGTAGGTAAGTGGCCTGTCGAACTCTATGACTAAGGACGAAGAGCTAGTTAGGGAGGCTTGGGCACCACAATCTTGACACATGAAGTTGTTGTATATCTCTGAGGCACACGGTGGCACTGTGGAGAAACCGCTACCCTTCTGGCAAGGTGTGTCAGGAGAAAAGACACACAAGCACACTCAAGGGTGTTCTGACCACTGACCACATCCTCTGTGGTTTGCTAGCATTTTTTGCCTGACGTTGCTTTTTGAAAACTACTTACGAAGGAGAAAGAGTAAGCTGCACGGCACCACAGTTTTCTTGTGCAGAAAAGAGCTCACGAGCTTACCAGAAAGGGGGCAGAATCTTCCCAGATATTTTCTTGGTCATCTCCTCTTTGATTCGGGAAAATGTCTCCTGTCGGGACCTTGGTTGTGTTCCTCACAGCTGTCTTAAGTAAGTGATGTATTTTTGAGTTGTATTATGGGATTGGTCTCTTTCTTTCTTTCTTTCTTTCTTTCTTTCTTTCTTTCTTTCTTTCTTTCTTTCTTTCTTTCTTTCTTTCTTTCTTTCTTTCTTTCTTTCTTTCTTTCTTTCTTGTTCTCAGGAACCCAATTTAAATCCAAGCTAAAATTAAAGCAGATACTTCCATGCAACCCTGTATGTTGTACTTTAAAAAGTAAGACCCAACGATCTGAACAAATCCCCGTATTTTTAAAAAAGGAGAGATGTTTTATTGCAATGCATGTGAAAAAACTTATTAGGCATTTACGATGACTGATTTCCGCAGGGTTTAGAAATCAGCAACTCATTATAAAAGAGGAAATTTAAGCTATGGTCAGTTTTGCACACCCCAACCCCCCAAAAAGGAGAAGAAACAATATGTGAAAATACTGAAAACTTCCTGTTCTGTGAAATGAAAGGCATGTGTATTCTGATATATACATACAACCTCCACTTTGTATGCCTGTACCTGAATGGAATAATTAAAATGAAAAGGAACTAAAATGACACTTTCCCCCAAAGGTAAGTTTGACTTGATCCTGAGAGCCCAAAATGATTTCTGTCCATGCATTCACCTGTTTGTCCATCTGTCCATCTCTGCAGAAAGCACTACTGGCCAGTCGGTTAACCAGGCAGAAGGAACTGTGCTGGTGACTCAAGGAAAAAATATCTTTCTCCATTGTTCCTACAAATCTTCATTTACCACAGCCTATCCTTTCTGGTATGTCCAGTATCCTGGCCAACCTCCCAGGCTCTTTTTGAGAGAATTTGGAAAAGAGGAGGGTGATCGTCACGGTTTCCAGGCTGAGCACCGTAAAGGAGAAAAAACGTTCCACATGAAGAAATCGGCCAGCCAGTTGAAGGACTCCGCTGTCTATTTCTGTGCTGTGAGAGACACAGTGAGATTGGGTATAAGACACGCTGATCACGAACTTGGTTGGGAAAAAAAAGCATCCTTCACAGTATTTGCAGAGACTATGGTTGAAGTCTTGTGAAGGGGAGACCTGATTTCTGATCATTAAATTCTATTGGATGTAATCTGTCATAAGATTGGGCTATACATACAATTAAGAATTCCAACTTTAAAATAGAGACCTTAATTCCCTCCACATGTTCCAATTCTTAATTTGTCATTATTAATGGACTGATTGGCTAATTACTCTGAGACTATTTTTTTAAAGCACATCTTTTTGTCTCCATCCCTTTGAGGAAAGACTGATCAATCTGTACCTGTTTAGCCTTGAGAAAAGAAAACTGATGTGGAGAAAGGATGGCGTTCTTCAAATGCCTGAAGAACGGCCATTAAGAAGAGGAGCAAGATGTGTCCCAGGGGGAAGGATACGTGATAAAGGGTTGAAGTTAGAGAAAGCTAGATTTCAGGAAAAAATTTAGAGCACTATGACAATGGAACCAATCACTTTGAGAGGAGGTGAGTGCTCCCAACACCAGAGGTATTCAGGAGATATTTGGCAACCTGTCCGATTGATTTCAGGGAAAAAAAACTCTGAAAATTTAGAGCACTACGACAATGGAACCAATCATTTTGAGAGGAGGTGAGCACTCCCAATACCAAAGGCATTCAGGAGATATTTGGCAACCTGTCCGATAGACTTTAACTTAGATTGGTGCACTGAGGAAGTGATAGTGGTAGTGGACTCATTGCCCTTATAGATTCATAGAACTGGAAGGGGCTTATAAGGATCACAAGTCCAAAGCCCCTGCTCTGGGTAGGAATCCAAATCAAAACAGATCTGGCAGATGGTTCTCCAAATTTCCCTTGTATGCCTCCAGCATTAGAGCACTGATCACCTCCAGAGGTCTTTGGTTCCATTGTCATACTGCTCTAAGTGTTGGTCACCTCCGGAGGTCTTTCGTTCCATTGTCATACTGCTCTAACCCTCAAGACGTTTTTCCTGATATTTGGCCTAAATCTGGCTTCCTGTAGCTTGAGCCTGTTCCTATGTGTTCTGCCCCCTGGGATGATGGAGAACAGATCCTACCCCTTGTCTTCTGCCCTCTGGGTTGATGGAGAATAGATCCTGCCCCTCCTCTGTATGATTACCTTCCAATTATTTGCAAAGTGCTCTCCTATCTCCCCTCAGTCTTCTTTTCTCAAGGTTAAACATGCCCAGATCTCTCAGTCTTTCTTCCTAGGTCTTAGTTTTCAGTTCGTTTCCAACTCCATCATTCTACGAGGCTATGAATTCAGGGCACATGCCAGCTCCCAAG